TGTGTAGTACCTTCGTTATCTGAAGATCCCACACCATTGGCCGAGTCCTTTAATCAATTACATTTTGAACTAGAAGCCGATGGCGAACGGGAAGCTTCGCATACGCTTGAATTGCCAGCAACTTCTGCTGCTGCGGCGGCTGCTGCTGCCGAAGAAGGCTTCAAGACACCCAACGGACTGCAGCCAGTGGTAGAGAGTACACCCACCAGGGGCACAGGTGAAATGGCACAGGAGAAGACACCCGCTGGCTCACTGGGATACAATCACAGCGAGGGCTTCGCCAAGGTGGTCACATCTACACCGCTGGAACCAAAGGCAGCCACAGCCAAGGAGCCAGCGAAAGCAAAGAAGGGAAAGGCTTTAAATTTCGACGCAAAGGAGGACTCGCGGCCAGCTATTGTCCTGCCATCTGAGCCCAAGAAAGAGGACACGCCGAAGAGCACGGCCACGGAGGCTGCACCGCCGGAGCCCACAAGGAGCAGCAGGGAGACAGCAGCCTCGTCCAATGCAAAGCGTGCCGAGCTGCAGCCGCTGAATCTAAAGAAGAGCTACGAACCAGTGGCGCCTGCTCCTGCACCTACGCTGCTCAATGATTCCAGCAAATCGCAAATGAGCAGCCTCAAGCCTGTGGAGAAGATTGTGCTAAAGGAGAACACACCCGGCCAGGATCTGCTCGAGTGGTGCAAAGAAGTTACCAAAGACTATCCAAATGTGAAGGTTACAAACCTAACCACCAGCTGGCGCAACGGCATGGCCTTCTGTGCCATCATTCATCATTTTGTACCAGATTTAATGTGAGTGTCAGCCAACGATCCACGCAGTCTTTATGCTAATCTTTTGTCCTCTGTTTCAGCGACATGTCAAAGCTGAGTGCACACGAGGTGGTGGGCAACTGTCGCATTGCCTTCGATGCTGCCGAGTCGCTGGGCATACCCCGTGTCATTGAGCCGCGTGACATGAATCTGCTGACAGTGCCGGATAAGCTGGCTGTCATGACATATCTGCACCAGTTGCGTGCGCACTTTACCGGCAAGCAGCTGCAAATCGAACAAATCGGTAACTAAATCAATGAAATTTTGCATAAACAATTACATTTATTTACCTGTCGTGCAGGCACAACCTCGGACGAGTCGAGCTACGTTATTGGCAATTACAAGTCGGACAATTTGTCGCAGAACCTCAACTTCTCGCACCTAAAGACGCAGCTGCTGCATCAGAACTCCTTTGACGATGAAATCCAGCAAATGTCACCGCAAACCAAAAAGGATGTGAAGAACCTCATTCTGTACAACTCAAAGAATATTCTGGGCAAAGTGCTGTCCCCCACGAAGGACAAGAACTCGATTAATGCAACGCAGCATCAGTCAGGTGTGACGCCAGCCCAGCCTCTGTTTGTGGAGGAAGGCGAGGAAAGTTCTACGCAATTAGGGGGCAAGGAGAATGCAGCCCTCTCAGTGCTGGATGCACATGCGGCGAATGTGAGTAGATCCCAGAGCCTGTGCTGTAGCTTTAGCCGTAGCTGGTTTGGCAGTGCTTCGTTTTGTTGCAGTTTTTGCATTGCAGTTAGTTAAGCTTCTGTTTTAGCTGTAAATATGATTTGGTTTGTTTTTTTTTGTTCTTTTGCTTTACTTTTTGGTTTGTTTTATAGCGAATTTTAACGCGCCACAAGGCAATGAGTGAAAAAGCTAAACTTATGATGGAAAAGTTGAAGTTTTCCAACGGCAACGTCAACGGCGGCGGCGATGCGACAGACGTAAGTAGCTTTCAGTTCGCCAGCGGGCAGCGTGCAGCCGGCAGCTGCCAATCTCTTGCATGCATCACACAGTCTCCTTGCTAATCAATGCTAACACAATTATCGCCTTTGTTTTGCTTACGCAGGAGGAGCAGCGACAGCAGCGGTTGCGGGAGCAGGCACGTCGCCTCATACTGGAGACGCGCACCAAAACTGGCGGCTCCATGGACAGTCCCACCAGCCCCACGAAGCCGAAACGCTTCAACTTTTCACCCGAGCGCACCATCTCGCCCATTCAGAATGGCTCCGAGGAGTTTTACTTTGAGAATCTAAAGAAGGTGGACGAGACGGAGCCGGGCAGCGGTGGAAACAAGATCAGTCCTAGTCATAGATTAAGCAACGTCAACGGCAGTCCGCTGCAATCGTTCAATGCAATTGTGGAGCGCATCTCACCAAAGCACGAGAAGAGGGTAAGCAGAGGTCTGGCAGGCCGAGGACTAGTTCTCACTTTGTGTTCCTTTGCAGGGCGAAAAGCTGTCCTACATCGAGTCCGAGCTGGAGGCACTGGAGCGGGAACAGGAGGCTATCGATCAGAAGGCCAGCAGTCTGGAGGCTAAGCTGCGCGCAGTGATGGGCGGCAATCCAAGTAATAATCGAACCAATCGGAACGGCAATCCGTTCCTTAGGCTAATCCGAAATAGTATTGGTGGTGGTGACGTGATACGCATTAAGCTGCTCGACTCCGACGATGAGAGCTTGTTCGGGACGGGTTTGGTTATGGGTGCGGGTGCGGGTGCGGGTACGACGGGTACAACCAGCGAAGACGATGTAACCACCAGCGATAGCGCCTGCCAATCGGACGATGAGGTGCAGGCACAGACGCGGCTACGTGTGCGACCTCGACCTCGTCCCCGCTCCCATTCGTGTTTTGTAAATGTGAATAAAGACAATCATCCATCGATTAGCCACACAAACCATGAAAGCCATCAAGAGCATCAATTGCGGCCCCGACCGCATCATGTGCATCATGTTGTGCCCTACAGTCATCTGCTAAGCAGTTCCGCCTCGGGCATGTCCTCCCCGCAGTCCTCCTATGACAGCGATGATGATGATGATGCCCTGGCCATGGCAGCCACTGGAACTGTGGCCTCCATGCGGCGGCAGCAGGATCGCCACAAGCGGCGTCACCATCAACGGCGCTCCCGCCGAACCCACTCTCGCAACCATTGCGGTAAAGTGCCAGCCAAGTCTCCACATTCATTAGAGTCATTGAGTTCCTAACTGCTTAAGCCACTGCGACGCCAACCGCTGCCTCTCACCCACCGCCTGCCGCCGTTATCGCTGCCTAAAACGCATCGCCATGCATCGTTCATTTCCTGTCTGCTCTGTGCTCTGTGCTCTGTGCTCTCTGCTGTTTGTTGTTTGTTGCCGTTTGTTCGTTTTGTGTGTGTGTGTTTCCTACCATTTGCTTAACCGATCCGATTGTGTCTTAACTTTGTTCGAAGGCAGCTTCCAGCTCCAAGCTACCTTCAATCGTCTCCACTAACTCTCTCACTAATCACAGTGTCTGCAAACAGCTTTTAAAAACCGCCAAAGGAGTCGCGTACTTCGTAGACTAAACTAAAATTACACTTTGAACGATAAATTAGCATTTTAGAGCTTAGTTTTTAGTGCGTGTCTCTGCATGGTTTGTAATCCTAACAATCTCCACGTTCATTTCCCACACAGAAACCGAGGAAACGGAGGAGCAATTGCTCTCACAGTGGTTCACGCTGGTCAACAAGAAGAATGCGCTGCTCAGGCGGCAAATGCAATTGAATATACTGTGAGTAAAATCTTTATTCCACGCGGAATGCCTTGCTCATTTGAGTTCTTCCCCAACAGCGAACAAGAGAAAGATCTGGAGCGAAAGTTTACAATGCTTAATCAGGAATTGCGTGCGGCGCAATCTGTTGAGGACTGGCGCAAGACGGAAGTGCAGCGTGAAAAGGAGCGACTGCTGCTCGAGGAGCTGGTCACGATTGTGGACAAGCGAGATCAATTGGTGCAACGTTTGCACAATCAAGAGATTGCGTAAGTTATGACTACTTCCACTTCAATGTTTTAGCAGCAAGCTCATTAATCACTTGCAGCATTGAAGACGATCACGAGATAGCCAGGGAGCTGGAGCAAGTGGATATCAGCGGTGGGAAGGAAAAATGTGTTCTACAATAGAAATCAAATCGAAATTCTACGAAACTTGACTGGAGATTATACTTATGAGTACCCCAAACAAACACACACACACACACACAATCTTATCTATGTAAACTAAATAGTTAAAGATATCTATTGTATGTTTGTTTGTTTGTAATGCTGTTCAGTGGCACACAATGTGGCCCTGGGCCAGGGCAAATGGTTTAGACAAAGAGTACTGACTGTGACACTACGAAATCGCGTTTGTATTTAGGCAAAGAGTTCAATAATAATAAATGATCAAAACGTCCGTTAGTAAACTAAGTAAAAACTCAAACACTGAACAGAGAGCAAACCCAGCACACAGGCAACATTGAAATTTGAAAGCGAACAAAGAATGCCCTTGCCCCAAAAAGTAATTTAAATATTGTGATTATGTTTTGTTTACTTTGTTTGGTTGTTGTGCCATCTGACGATCATTAATGCTCCCCCCCCTGGAACGCTTGGACCCGGCAGTAGAGTGAGGAGTGGCAATTTTATGATAATTTTTACTATAGCATTTATCCCTTACAAGAAACGCTTCATCCCAAAAAATATACACCTACATATACACACACACACACATATATATATATATATATAAATAATTATATTTATTATAAACTACTTTTGTGCAAAAGAAAAAGGGAACTATGTAACTTATCTACAATTAATTTAGATTTTTATCCATATGATATATGTATATCATACCGCACCTAAGTTTAAGGCAAAGGCAAAGCGCTTTAATAATTAATTTAAAGGTGGCTTATATACTTATATTATAGCCCTCCCCCCATGCTCCACACCCAAGCAAATGTATGTACAATATATATAGAAAGAACTGTTCAAACTGAGAAGGAAAAATCCCCCCCCAATAGCTAATAAAGAATGCGAAATAAACCCAACAAAAAACACAACTGAGAATATATATATATTGAGTTGTATGAGTGTTGTTTATTTAAATATATCTGAGAGATGAGTCAATCTGTTTGCCAGTCAAAAACAAGTCTTTATTCGTTTATAAATTTCAAATAGATTTATGTGTAGAAAAATACCTTTTGTCTAATACAACTTTGAAGAATCAACATTCGATATGCAGCAGTTTAGTCTTTACAATTATTTAAATGATTACAGTTATATATGTATGTACAGTTATTTTTGCACTTGCAGTTTGACACTTGAGATTGATTGATTTGATTGCTTAAAGACTTAGCGAGATTCCGTTTACATTGTACTCTCAATATCGCTTTCGTTTCACAGATTTCTTCTGTGGGGACACTACATTTAATTATGGCTATTGATTAGATTTGATCTAGAAAGCATTAACAATTGACATCATGGTTGCATCACCATTGCTCTAGCTGGGCATTAAACAACTACAAAATAAAAGCGAAATCAGAGTTGAGTATAGGGCAAAGCAGCTACAAGCACGACAAAGGCGAAGGTTAAACTAACATTTGGTGTGCCGGGTGTCGCGGCGCCGGCATGGGTTATTTCGTGCAGCTCCTCGTCTGTCTGATTGGCCGTCTCCACTTTGTAGTTGAACGTCGCAGTGACGGGCTTGTGGTCCGACAGCGTATACTCCATATTCGACTGATAAGACAACTGTGTGGCGCTCAGGGTAACCGCTGGATAAATGTTACGCTGCACGCGATGCAGTATCCTATCACACCAGGCTGGGCGTCGCTTCAAGTCGTAGTCATTGGTGCCCTCAATAAACTACAAAGAAAAGAACATTTCATTTTAGATAAGGGAAATTGAATTGACTTTTCAATCACCTTAAAAGTGGGCGCAAAGTTGGGTGGCTGCTCCTCCAGCAAGCTAAAGGCATTCCCCGTCTCCCGCAGCAGGTTCAACTGGTCCTGCTTGAGCAGCTCCTCGTAGCGCATATTCTCCGCGGCGGTTCGCACGTCCCAGGCGCTGGTCTCGCCAGAGAGGCGGAAGTTGAGGTCACCGAACCAGAAGACAAAATCGTGGTCAAAGATGCGACGATAGCCCGACGCTTCGTACTTGTGGTTGTCCACTATCTGGTGGTAGTCCTCGATGCGTTCCTTCAGCTTATCGTCGTGCGCCGCCAAATGGGAGCACACGAAGACGGCGCCAGTGCCATACAGGCTCAGGCGAATGCTCACTGCACCCTTGTTACCCCACAGACCGCCCAGGCCTGTTCTGGTCGCCTCCGTTTCTATGTTCTTCATGTGGGGAATGTGCTTGTGTTGGGCAAACATTGTTATCAGTATACCCTGCAGCTGCTTCGAGTCCACCTTCACGTAATGGTGATCCTGCAGATGGCTGGCGATTTTCAGCACCCACGGGTCGTCTTGGAAGATGTTCAGCACCTGCTTGGTGCTGACCTCCTGCATGCCTATGACGTAAATGTCGGGCAGCTGGTTGTCCGGGCAGTTGGTGGTTCCATTCAAGGCCAGCAGCGATATCAGCGACAAGTCCCTGGGGGAATGTGTGCCCACATTCCAGGTCAGCAGGAAGATGCACAGATCGGCAATTGCCGTTGTCGCAACCATTTTCGCGACTAATTAGCTACACTATGATTAATACAACACAACGACAATAGACGACGTCACAAAGGTGAGCTCACGGGGATCCGGTTTTGGATTTGACAGCACATCCAGGGCCACTTGGCGTATAGCTTTGACGCACACTTTCCAGCATTTAGTGAAACAAACACAAGTTCAACTATTGATTGCATTTAACAACCCGTCACCAACAACCCACTACAATTATTTATAGAATGAAGCGCGGATTATTTTGTATTTTTGTTTTCGGTGTGTTGTTGTTGCTTTAGTGATGAGAAAATATAAATTGTTACATAAATATATCGATATATCGAGCGCAGCTCAAAAAAGAGTGCATTTTTTTTTGTGAAAAATATCATTTAATATTGGATTTTAATAATAATAATAATTAAAACATTTTGAGCATATATAACAGACAAATATCTTCAATGTACATATGTATATATGGTATCGATATACTGAATTAATATTTAACTTATTCTGACCATCCGGCAGCGCTGTCGCTTTTTTGCGAAACCGAGTGTGTACACACTCTTTCAGGATTGTGCATAAAAATAAACAAATCTTTTATCAATTGTTTCTTACCTGCTTAAAACAATTTAAACGCATGGCGAACAGCTACGACATACCCAGTTGGTTTGTAATTGAACGCGACTACATCTGAACACATCAAATACACACAAATGCACACATTTCAGGGCTGGAAAGCCGCCGACGGGTCTCCACTTGGATGTGCTCAAGGATGACAAACTGGTCCAAAAACTGATGGTCGATGATAAAAAGTGCTACTTATTTGGCCGAAACAGTCAAATGAATGACTTTTGCATAGACCACGCCTCCTGCTCCCGCGTGCACGCAGCCTTTGTGTACCACAAGCATCTCAACATAACATACCTCGTGGATTTGGGTTCCAGTAAGTGGGGGGGCACAAGTCTTCAATAATTATGCAGCGTAATTTATAATTATTTACAGCACATGGCACGTTCATTGGCACCCTTAGACTGGAGGCGCACAAGCCCACACAGCTGCAGATTAATAGCCAATTTCATTTTGGGGCCTCGACAAGGAATTACATTCTGCGCGAGCGACCGTCTGCCGGCCAGCACACCAACATCATGGAGGATCTGCCCATCAGCGAGACCGGCGATGGCGCCCTGCTGGGCCTGCCCGAAAGCCAAACGGAATTGGATGTGAGTTTTGAACACAAAACGAAGGCAACCCGATCTAATGAGAGCATTTCCTTTCAGAATCTCACTGAGTATAATACGGCCCACAATCGGCGTATTTCCATGCTGGGCATTGACGATGACACCAACATGCGCAAGCAGAACGCCTTGAAGCAGGGACGGCGGAGTCGCAATGTCACGTTCAATGACGAGGAGATTGTCATCAATCCAGAGGATGTGGACCCAAATGTGGGACGCTTCCGTAACCTCGTGCAGACCACAGTGGTGCCGGCAAAGCGTTCTCGTTACGATCTCAACCACATGGGCATCCACTCAGGACACAGCAGCCTGGCGGCAGCCAATGCGGCCAGTGTGCAGCAAATGTTCCAGCAGAGTCTGGCCGAGAGTAAACATCTGCAGCATCGAGAGATGTCGGCATTGCAGGCGTCTCCGCAGTCACCCAGCAACTCGCTATACCAGGGCCTACCAGAGGTGCACGGCAAGAGTGATCTGGAGCCCATTTCACCGCTGAGCATTGGCTCCAAGCTGGGCCTGCTGCTGCCCAATCCCGCGCCCGAGGTGATGCCCGTGTTCGAAGAGGAAGTGGAGCCCACATCCACGCTGGCACAAAAGTTGGCCGTTGCCAATGCAGGAGGTGAGTGGGAGACTAAAAGATTTCCCCCTGATATGGCTCTTCACATAACGTTTGCTTTTCGTCCAAGTGCGACGCCATGCGGAGGATCCACACGACTCGAGTGGCGAGGGCGATGGTCTGGGACCCCAGAAGAAGAAATACGCCAAGGAGGCTTGGCCCGGACGCAAGCCAATGCTGGGCCAGTTGTAATTGAAATCGAGTTTCTACCTCTGACAATTAAAGAGTCTTTCCAAGCATCGTTGGTAATTATTTGAAACATAAATGCAATATGTTCCCACACACAATCGGCCACCTTTCCCCCAAATATATAGATTTAGTTTTCAATAATAAATTTTTCACCCACATTGGTTCACATTTTGCAGCTGTGTGGATAGCGGGGAAAGGGTATCACATCTCTTATGTTCTTAACACCCGTCACGAGCTGCAGATAACGCTCAAAGCCCATGCCAAAGCCGCCTGTGTGTATGCCTCCGTATTTGCGCAGTTCCACATACCACGCCAAGTCCTTGGGCAGCTGTGGATGGGCGCTCAGAGTAGCAGCATCGCTTTCACGCAGGCTGCCGCCACACAGCTCACCCACAGCGGGCACCAGCAGATCCAGGGCGTGCACACGTTCCGGATTAGTTCGACTGATTTTCATGTAGAAAGGTTTTTGCTTGGTGGGCCAATCCACAACAAAGACGGGAGTGCCACAGTGGGAGACAAGAAACAGTTCCTGGTCCTTGCTGAAACCCTCGTCCAAGCTGATGGGCGTCTTCAAGCTCTCCTTGTTGGCCAGCAGCACGCTGAGCGCCTCGTCGTAGCTCATGATCTTCCATGGAACATTCAGCCAAGGCAGATCCGAGCTGGCATTGGCATTTCGCTGGCAAAAGTGTAGATCCTCGGAGCTCGTCTCTAGCAGGCGATTCGTTATGGACTTTAGCATCTGCTCAATGAATCTCGCCAGCTTCTCCAGCTCATCCAAATGCGCCAGCTCCGCCTCAAACATGTAGAATTCAGCCAAATGAAGTGGCGACTTGGAGTTCTCGGCACGAAAGGCGGGTGCCAGGCAGTACGTGTTGCCCAGGCCATAGCTCATGGCCTCCAAATGCAGTTGTCCCGAGACGCTCAGAAAGACTTTGCTATCGAAATAACTCTCCTCTGGCGGAACCTTGGGCCGTGCCATTTGCTTTAGCAACTTCTCCGAGTCGGGTTGCACTCGAAAAGCCTCGCCGGCACCCTCGCAATCGTTGGTGGTTAGCAGCGGAGTGTTTATCTGCACGAAATCCAGCTCATCCATGTAGTCATGAATCGCTTTCTGTGCCTTGTGTCGGACACGCAGCTGGGCTGCCACATAGTCCACACGGGAGCGAAGATGCAGGTGCTCTCGGACATATTCCGGTGCGTGTTTCTGCTTGGGCGTAAAGGGATAGCCATCCTGAAGGTGTCCTTCGGCTTTCGGAGATCAAGACAAAGGTTTAATTAGTGGCACAAGCTTAACAGTGCAAAGATTTACCCAGCGATTCCACGCGATCTGCATGCAGCTCAAAGTTTCCGTTGGGCGCCACTTGGATCTGTCCCACCGCCGAGATGACGCTGCCCGCTGTTAGGCTTTGTGTTTCTGCATTCCGTGGCACAACCACTTGGAAGCTTCTGCTCGTGGATCCATCGTCAACGTCTAGAAATGTGTTGTTCTTCAGCCGGCGAATGTTTTTGATCCAGCCCTGCCATTGATAAGAACGTTCCGATGTTATAACCAGGCTGCAACTCGGAATCGGGGGATTTACCTGAATACTGAGTGAGTCACCTGGCTTGTGTGACTTGGCTATATGACCGATCCGCTGAGAGCTGCAGTATAACCTTCTAAAAACTAACATTTTTGTTATATTTATTTATATTTTTTTTTGGTATTTAATCGCTACCGCGAAATTGTATGGTCTCACGACAAGCTGTTATAGTTATGGAAAACAGCTGAGTCTAGTGCCAGGGATGCAAAGGTTCTAGATTCGATATACTTACGGTATATTTTAAAAATGCAAGGGTATATTTCGGTATATTTATGAGGGTCAGTCTGCAAAGCTTATCGATAACGCGTCGTCATTGGGCGCAAGAAAACTCCACATTTATAATAGTTTTTAACGAAAATAACGCAGCAAAATGTCTTCAATAGAAGCAGACACTGTTCTGTACAGCATTTTAGCTTTAGTTATTATTGAGAACGCTGTGGAGATTTACATATCGCTGCGGCAAGTGAGTATTTTCGCAGGCGGCCAATGTGCCGGCACGTGCGAGCGAGACCGAGAGAGAGCGCTGGCAATTTATTTTATCAGCACGAATGATAAATTTAGAGCCTGTTCGTGTTTATTGGCATTTAATTGATTCTCTTCTCATTCCCCTCTCCGCGCCGTAACCAGGTGAAAGTATACCGAAATGCACTCAAAGTGCCAGAGGAGCTGACGTCACACATGACGGAGGAGACATTCCACAAGGCGCGCCGCTATGGCTTGGACCAGGAGACATTTGGCATCTTCAAGGCGGTGCTGATGGACGTCCTACTGCTTTGCCTAGAGCTGAACATCGGCCTGATTGCCGTGATCTGGAAAATGTCGGTGAATGTGCTCAACAAGCTGGAGTGGGACGCCAGCAATGAGATTCTGGTCAGCTGTGTCTTTGTGGTCATCTCGAATGTGTTCAGCACATTCAAGTCGCTGCCCTTCAAGATCTACAAAATCTTTGTGCTGGAGGAGACGCACGGATTCAATAAGCAAACGGCCGGCTTCTTTGCGTGGGATCAGGTGAAGGGCTTCCTGATCACCCAAGTGCTCATGATTCCCATCACGGCGGCATTAATATTCATAGTGCAAATCGGCGGCGACAACTTCTTCGTTTGGCTCTGGCTGTTCACGGGCACGGTCTCACTGCTCCTGCTCACCATCTATCCGATCTTCATTGCCCCGCTCTTCGACACTTACACGCCGCTGGAGCAGGGACCCCTGCGACAGTCCATCGAGGATCTGGCCGCCTCGCTGAAGTTCCCCCTCACCAAGCTGTTCGTTGTGGATGGCTCAAAGCGCTCCTCGCACAGCAATGCCTACTTCTACGGACTGTGGAACTCGAAGAGAATCGTGCTCTACGACACTCTGCTGCTGAACAAGGGAAAGCCAGACGCCTCGGAGCTGTCCGATGATGAGAAGGGCAAGGGCTGCACCAACGAGGAAGTGCTGGCCGTTTTGGGACACGAACTGGGCCACTGGAAGCTGGGCCACGTCACCAAGAACATAATCATCATGCAGGTTCACCTCTTCCTGATGTTCCTCGTCTTTGGCTACCTCTTCACGTATGCGCCCTTCTATGTGGCCATGGGCTTCGAGCCGGGCACTCGTCCTATACTGGTGGGCCTGATGGTTGTGTTCACCTACGTGCTGGCGCCGTACAATGCCATCATTAACTTTGCCATGACCATCCTGTCGCGCCTGTTCGAGTACCAGGCCGATGAGTTTGCCTTCAAGCTGGGCTTTGCGGAGCAGCTGGGCCGTGCGCTGATCAAGCTGAATCTGGACAACTTGGGCTTTCCCGTCTACGATTGGCTGTACTCCACCTGGAATCACTCGCATCCCACGCTGCTGCAGCGCCTCAATCGCCTGCAGGAGCTGAAGGAGAGCAAGAAACTAAACTAAAAACAGACCAAAGCTTACACTGTATTCCCCCCCACTGTATGTTAGCAAGTAAAATAAAGAATGGCAAGGGGCTGGGCGCACCCCAAACAAAATCAAATCAGAGCCAACTGTCGGGGGGGAGCTGTCAGACAGACGTTCAAAATTACCAAAATGTGCCTGAAATGCCAAGTTCTTCGAGTAAAATGTCTGCACATTTCTGGAACGATGCTGAAATAATCCTGTACATAATCATTGCCGTCTTGGTCGTGGACAATCTTTGGGCTGTCTACTTGCAGATACGCGAGGTGAGTCCACCAGAAAGTTCCTCTTCCTGTGCACAGCTTGCTTGATTGCTTTCTCCCGTTCTGCCCAGATAATCGCTGTGCATGAGGTGGATCAGGTGCCGCCAGTCATAAGTCCCTATCTGCCGCAGGATTTGTTCAACAAAATGCGCACCTACAAGATACACAAGTGCTGGTTCACCGTGATCAATACGCTGCTCATTGTGGTCTTTAGTGGCATTCTGGAGCTGTTCTTTGGCTTTTATCCTTGGCTCTGGGACGTGGCCACCAAATGCTCCCTGGCCAAGTGGATGGAGCATGAGGCATGCGTCTCCATATTCTTTGTGCTGCTGCTGTCCCTCTACATTACCCTCAAGGCCTGCCCGGGCATGCTCTACGAGAAGTTGTTCATTAAGGCCCTGCAGGAGCGAAAGCATCCGCCGTGGCTGCGTCGCATTTGCCGTGAGATCATCGACACCATTCTGGCCGTGATCTTCATGAGTCTGACGGTGGTCTCGCTGGTGTTCATGGTGCTCTGGCTGAAGGAGTACACCGCTGTGGGTCTGTACGTGCAATCACTATTGCTCACGTTGCTGCTCATCCTGCTGGTGCCCTTCCTCATCGATCCGTTTGTGGGCAAGCGAGTGCCGCTGGAAAACGCAAACTTGCGCTCCGACCTCGAGCATCTCACGGACATTGTGGACTTTCCCATGCGGCAGGTGCACATTATCCGTGTCAACGATCCGAATACGCCCAGCAATGCCTTCTTCTACGGCAGCTGCTGCCTGAAGCGGATCGTGATCTTTGACACTCTGCTGCTGAACAGGGGACACAAGGATTTGTCCACGCTGTCACCCGAGGAGGTGGGCAAGGGTCTGCGTGACTCGCAGGTGGTGGCCGTTGTGGCCCACGAGCTGGGCCACTGGGTGCACGGGCATTTCTACAAGGCGATCTTCATGTTTCAGTTCCACATGATCCTCATGATGTGCCTCTTTCACGTGCTCTTCACCCATGGCCCCATCTATGAGGCCGTGGGCTTTGAGGCGGGTCTACAGCCCATTGTGGTGGGCTTTCTCATCGTTTTCGGCTTCGTGTTGACGCCCTACTTGACGATGTCCAACTTTTGCATGCTCTCGGCAACGCGGCACTTCGAGTACCAAGCGGACAGCTTCGCCTGGGAGATGGGCTTCTCGAAGGATCTGCGCCAGGCGCTGCTCAAGCTGTACGCGGACAATCTGGCCTTTCCCATCTCGGATCCATGCTACTCCAGCTGGAATCACACGCATCCCACGATGCTCGATCGACTCAATCGACTGGAGAAGCTGCAGCAAAGACTGGACTCGAATGGAACTTAGACGTTTCCCCACCCAGTAGGTTCTGATTTAATAATAATAACAATACAATAAACCAACCCATTTTGTTGTTTTAGTTGGGGAACAATGCTCGTTGCTCGATGGCATTCTACGACAACTGGCCGCAGTGGGACCCAAAGGTGGTGCTCGCTCTGCTAATGATTATTGTGGTGGTGGGAAATGTCTGGGAGCTAATACTCACCAAGAGACAGGTAATTGCCAGGTAGCAGCCAAGCATTCGTTATCTTATATTCAAATTTGCTTTGCCTTACCCCTTAGCAATTGGTTTGCCTGAATGCCGTGATCGTGCCCGAGGAGCTGCGCGGCATCATTCCACCGGATCTGTTTCATCGTGCGCGCATCTACGAGCTCCACAAAATGGAGCTACTCAGCTGGAAGATTGCCGTGGATCTGGTGCTAAGTCTGGCCGAGCTCTTCTTTGGCTTCTATCCGTTCGTCTGGGGTCTGGCGGCCAAGACGCTGGCACGTGCCACGCACAAGGAGATCTGGATAAGTCCGCTATTCGTGTTCTATATGACCATCTACACCTGTGTGCGCTTCCTGCCCGTGTTGGCCTACGACAAGTGCATTCTGGAGCTGCGTTATGGGGTGCAGCGGCAGTTCTCCTGCCTCCTCTACTGCTGCATTGCCGTCGTGGCCATCTTTCTGACGCAGATCTTCCTCGCACCCGTTACCCTTTTGATTGTGTATACTGTGACGGTGGCTGGCTACTGGTTCTTCCTGTACTACTGGGGCGCTTGGGCTGTGTTCACGCTGCTGCTGGTCTTTCTGTTTCCCTACTGCTGCATCCTGTGCATTGGCCGGCAGCAGCGGCTGCCCGAGGGCACGCCTCTGTATGCGGACATAAAGCGCGTCTGCGACTTGGCGGGCTTCCCCGTGGAGCGGGTCTTCATCATACGCACCAAGTCGATGCAGTACAGCAATGCGTACTTCTATGGCAGCTGCTGCATCAAGCGGATTGTTCTCTTCGACACGCTGCTGCTGAACAAGGGCCTCGATCCGAAGGAGTTGCAGCCCTACGAGGTGGGCCGGGGACTCACCAATCAGCAGGTGGCGGGCGTCGTGTGCCACGAGCTGGGACACTGGAAGTACGGACACTTCTACAAGACCACGGTGCTCATGAAGCTGCACTTTCTGCTCACCATGCTGCTGTTCGGCGTCTTCTTCCACTGCCCTCAGCTGTACATGGGCGTGGGATTTGCACCGGGCACTATGCCCATCATTGTGGGCTTCATCATTGTGCTGCGCTTCGCCCTGACGCCCTACCTGACGCTTGCCAACTTCCTCATACTCTGGATTATGCGGCACAACGAGTTCTCCGCGGATCGCTATGCCCATCGCCTTGGCTACTCCACGCAGCTCAGCTCGGCCCTTGTCAAGATCTACGCGGATCACATGAGCTTCCCGGTCTTTGACGATTGCTACTCCCGATGGCATCACACACATCCCACGATCCTCCAGCGACTCGCCTATCAGCGTCGCCTGGACATCCAAGCCACTGCCAAAATGCTGGACTCTGTCAAGGCAAAGCCCATTGGCAAGACTCAGGCAACCGAATCGGGTTGAAGTAGTCCCTGAAGTTTGTTTCGTATATTCCGAAGTTCTGTTTAGTTAATTACATCAAATTGCACGTGCCACACACAAACACAAACACAAACACACACACACTTGGCCATGGCTAGCTTTGGACACATAACAAAATTGGTGGTAAACATTGGCAATGGGTGAGTGATCGTCTGAGGATCAACTCTGTTTTGTTTTTGTAACAATAAAGTCAACTCTGAATGCAGTGAGACTCGCATGAGTTATGGCGATGCCTATACACGTGTGATCTATGCAAATCCCTCGGGCCTGTGCTTTCCCAGCGGCCTAATGGACCTGGACCTGGACCCTGTTGCCATCAGCCAACCCAACAGTCAAGACAATCGCTATCGCCCCGAGTCCTTTCTGCGACGACACTTTGCGCTGCTGGCTAAGCGCTTACCACAGCTAATGGGTGTCAGTACTCCAGATGCCAGTGATGTGGAAGACACAGCTGCAGATGAGGCTGTTGTCTGGTACAACTGGCACTTGGAGGAAGCTGAATACCCCGAGCCACAGTGGGTTAAGTTCCTAGAATGGACAGAACCAGAGAAAGGCCGCTTGGAGATCTTCAATCGGTTTTGGCATTTAGATAGCTGCGTGGACAGGAACAAATCGGAGACGCCCAGGTGGTAAGTAGTCAGGGAAGTAGAAATCTTTAGTTCACAGCAAACTCAAGAAATTCCTTTAGCTGTTGTCTAAAAATAAAGCAGACCATGGATCACATTAAGGAGCTCATTGGGCCGGAGCTGCAGGATGCTTCAATGCAGGCTCTCGACTTTGACTCCACAATGAGAGACGTGAACGATTCGCTGAAGCAGCTGCAGGAGCTCATGGAGCTCCAGGAGCAACGTAATCGAACCCAAGCCTAAAAAAGATGAAAACATTTCGCTTTGGTGTGCTGACCCGATGATGTCTGCGTAATTGTATTTAGTTTATTAAATCATACATCCATACATATTTGTAGATATTCGATACTAGAGTGGATATTCGAAGCGGTTTTTTCGTGTGAATAATACGTGTATGTATCTTAGGTGGTAGCATACACACATATATATGCAGAGTTGTCTCATAATTAGTTTATATCTTTAAGTTGGCATTTACGGACGCATTTAGTTAATCGAATAGAATCTCTCCGTCTTCCAAATATTATTTCCTTTCCATTCGTTTCAAATAAGCTTAAACTTTAGTATATAGTTTAGGTATAGGTTTGGTTTTTGGTTTTTGGTTTTTGTTTTCTTGGAAAAATAGACTTGAAGTTGCATAGGTTTTAGGTAACAATTGTTGGGTTGTAAAAGTCGAAGGAGCTAAATCATAAATCTGTGTATTTATAATAGCTATAGCACCTTGAAGAAACGTTAGATAAGTTTTAGTTAATCTTTGATTTTTCCTTTAGATTTAGTTTAGTTTTCGATTAGTAGTCAAAGAGGTTTAAATTTTAAAACGAAAAATAAGACGAACAGAAGAGAAGATGTGTGATTGCCCTTTTGGCTCGTGTTTGGTGCCAAGTGCCACTTGATTGATGGATTGATTGATGTTGAGTGCAGTTAAATTTCACATTTACACGGAATACAATCAGAGTCGCGGAGGCTTGGCAAAATGTGCGACTAGCACACCAAAAATATATCAAGAGAGCTTTGCATAAATATATCCACAATTATTAACAACAATTATCTACTACTTCTAGCCACACACATTTATATACTGTTTACATGTAAATATATATATATATATTTTTCTCAAATAAATCACGACTGATTCTGTTGTGTCTTAAGCTTAGCTACATTTATTTTGAGTTTTTGGTTTTGCAATTAAATCAAATAAAATATACACACATATATATTTTATAGGCAAATACATTTAGAAAATATACGTAAATATATAATATAATATAATATAAATATAAATATAAAATCGATGTACTGAATTTGATTTTTATTCTTTTTTGCTAGACTTTAAAGATAAGTGGCTCGATTCAGTGTTGCTTGGAGATAAATTTAAGATTTCATTTCTTGTTTTTTTGGTTTTTGGTTTTTGGTTTTTGGTTTTGCTTCTCTGCTTGGAGTATAGTAAATATATATCTTTGGTGTTTCAGTTTTGGGAAGGAAATATACTCTCAATGGCTTAACATACGATAAACATTTATTTTAAGCTTGAAACATTTATTTTATATATTATTTTACCAATAGTTTTTTTTTATCGTTTTCGTTTTTTGTTTCGGTTTGAATCTCCACATTTCAATTGCTTTAGAGATTCGCCAATTTTACCAAAATCTTTTTATTTTCCGCTCATTTTTTTCAGCAGTTTTAAAGTAATCAATTGCCTCGTGGCCTTCGGTGCCTAGATTTTGGGTGTTTGCTTTACCACAAGAGGGCTGACAAATATGGAATTTGGCTAGACAAAAATCTCCTTACTCCTCATCGTCGGGCGATATCTTGGCCAGTGTCAGCAGGATCATGGTCAGCTCTTTGCGGGAGATTTTGCCGTGCTTGTCATGGCCCACGCCCCGCATGATGGTCTCCTCAAAGGCGGCCAGATCCTGTGCATCATAGTCGTCCTGCGGGCACCAGAATGATTAAAACCAGCCCATGGCCAGCCCAAGGGCTCAACTTACCTTCTTGACCAGCTCCAAAAGATCCTTGAGGAAGCCCTTGAGTTCCTCATTCTCAATGGTGCCGCTGTTGTCCTGCAGGATGATAAATGAATTGATTTTATTATAGAATTTTCGCTAGACGCTAGAGCTAGAAACTTACGCGATCGTATAGCGAGAACACCTTCTCGATATCGTCTTTGGTCAGCTTGGTGGCACCCTGCGGAAGAGAAGGGAAATATTTGATTGCTTTTGCCTTGGACACAAGTGGCAATACACATTTTTAACAGACAGTAATGGGTTTATCCACAGCTACAAAATCTATGCATATTTAGCACACTCTTCGGGTAAGCATTTACAGAATAGATTTACAGAAAATTACAAGTCCATAAATACCATATTTTCCACTCCAAGTATGCTAAAACTTACAGCTGTTACAAGTGTAACAGTGGGGGATTAACATCCTTTCAGATCCCAAAGAAACAAATTGGGGGTCAAAGATAATCATGCAAATTTCTGTACTTTACGATAGTTTATATAATTTGTAGTTTGTGATTTTGTGCGATTTTGCTTACAAATGTACGAAGCTGAAGAGCGCATGCCAACATGCATCATGTGGTTTGGGGTTAGTGTTCTTGGACAAACATATGCCCCAAAGGGAACCCTTATGTTACATTATGCTGAACGGCTTCGTGTAATTAAGCTAAATGAAACATTCTGCCAATTATGTGCTTATGCCTTTGACAGTTCCTAATTAACATGAATTATGCCGAAGGTGCTGGCCATTTTTACCGTACATTAGTCTCCGTCCTGCTCCAGCTCCTGGGAGCACATTAATTTATCGATTCCATTTGTGCCTCGAATTACTTTTATTTTCCCTCATACTGCCACTGCCACTGCCACTGCCACTCAGACACGCACAGACATGCAATTTGTGTGTTTTTTTTTCGGGTGTTGTGTAACGTAATGCAGCTCTTGCGGCGCCCAAGTTCAAAGTTGTCGGAGAAGGCAGCAGTGTGCTGAGGCGCACCGAAAGTTACGAGTTGAAGCTCAAGGTGTTTGTGTTTTTCTTCTGCTATCCTTGGGATACCTTCATTTTGGCGGTGCCGTGAAAACGCATTTGGCGCATTCCTTGTGCGGTCTTGGGTGGGGATTACGAACCTATTAAGCGGCTGTGGCCTTTTGTCACCCCTTTCTTGAGCCGCGCGTAAGTCTCCAAAAATGTGCTTAGCCCGGCATTAAAAAAGTTTAGCGTGCTCCATTTGCCCGAATTCATTTTTCCAGCACCAATGCTTACGGAGTGGAATGCCACACACGTTGGTTGCCCTCCGCTCTTTTGTCAAATTGCTCCATACTTAAGTCGAATTCAGCCCGGAACGTGACGCTCATCCATTGCCGAAATGAAGTAATTATTTTACACTTCAACACTTTGAGACCCAAAACCGCCATGGAGGACCGTGTCTGCCAGCGGCGGCGGCTGTGCCTGTGGCTGTGGCTGTGGATGCCATTATCCATATGGCAGTGCCACAAACGTTCTCCTTGCTCTCACTCAATGACTAAATTATGCAAAAGGTTCTCGCTGCCGGTGCTGGGTGGTGGCAAAGTGTAATTTGTGGACCCCACATTAGGTTAGGTCTAAAGCTGTTCACGTACCGTAATCCAAGTGTGGCATTGGGTGGACAACCAACTGCCATCAAAAGTATAATTAGTAGCTCATAGCTATCATTCTTGGGTCTTGGGTGCGGAAGGGGAGAGAGCCTAAAAATGTGTAAATGACATAGAAAAGTAAAGAGTACTCTCCCTATGCTAATCTACAGTAAGCTGTTATTAATTGCAAGCTCTGGTCCACTCTCTCTTTCTATCTTTCTGTCGCGTTTTAGAAGAATCACAACCATAAAAGCAGTGATGAAACGGGCTGCTGGATGGTCTGCATACATACATATGTGTATGTATGAACGTGTGTAAGCTGCAGCCTCGCTTCAAAGCAAGCCCGTGGAGTAGCGGATCTTTGCTATGCAATTTACCTTTCAGAGAGTAACAAAGAGGGAGAGTAAGCGATAGAAACAGCTTTGCTCTCTGGCTTTGTGGGCCGCACACAGACACCCACACACATGCGTAACTGCGTTTGTGGCTTCTCTGCCGCTGCGTCAGCCGTAGTAGTTGCTGCTCTGTCGCTGTCGGCGTCAATCTTTGCACACGAAGCTTTTGCGCTGTGCGTATGCCGACGGCGCTGCCCGAGATCTTTTTCTATGCACACATCATACGACGCTGCCGCCTCCGCTTTAAGCGCACGTGTTTATCAGCTCTAGTCTTTCTTTTTGTTTAAACGCCACACCTCAAAGATTTTCCAAGGTAAACTCTCACATTCTCATTCACTTTAAATACAAAATACACTGGGGGATTTATCTAAGAAATAACACTTCATGCTGCGTTCATGCAATCCAAACCCACAAAAAAAGCTCAACAAATTGGAATTTTTCAATCAAATTTTGTTATTTTAGTTTGGCTTGCGAAATGCAAAAAACAATCAAACTACAAAAGCCAGAAAAACAAATTTAAAATCAATATGAATATATTCTCTTCTTGGCTTTCATAAAGTAAGTGTTCAACAAAAAGTGGGAATTGTTCAAACAAAGTCTCTTCAACGATACAAAAACCAAAACCAAAACGAAAACAAAAGCAACATTTTATCGATGATTTTTATGGCTTCTCTCTCAACGTTTAAATATGTACGAGTATGCTTGTCTTTGGCCGCCCCAGTCTATCAAACTACAATAGAAAACCAATCAGGGGGGTGATTTTTCGCTTTTTTGTTGTCTTTTTGTTTTTAGCTCGGTGATTGCATGGAAAATAAATACTTACATCAATGCCCTCCTTCAGAGTGTGGTTTTATACATGGTTTTTGGTTATTAAATTCATTTTGCAGGTATGTTTGAGTGTAGGGTTATAGTAGTAGGAAAGTTTTTGTTGTTGTTGTTGTTGTTAAAGTTGTTGTCAGTGCATTTTATTGGTGTGTGTATTGGTATACACACAGCGCATATGGTTGGGTTGGGTACAGTTGATATTCGAATTGCATTTTGTTTATTGCATCAACGTGTGAGAGTAGTTGGCAGCCCCGACATGATTCATACCACGTGCAGAGTATTATATTTAATTCGGTAAACGGTATTTATTGTTGATTGTTGTTTGATTATTGTTATGTTGTTGGTTTAGAAATAAAAATGCACAAGATTATCGAAATATATGCATAGATATGTACATATACATATATTTATGTATGTAATTGGTTGGGCATAGAGGAGAAAGGCGGGGGGAAAAACGAAATAAAATATATATATAGATATAGATATAGAAAGTTAAAGAGAG